AAATGAAACAGGATCGCTGTTTGGGACGTAATATGTAATCGCTGTTTGGGACGTAATATGTAATGCTTAAATGGTCAGTGGCCATCGCTTCGTATATGCGTTTGTAAATGAACAGTACATATTATGAACAGAGATTTATATGAAACGACAAATATTAGAGCAGATTGTGATAGATAGACGCAAACATTGATAGATAGGTTTATAAATATATATATATATATATATATATATATATATATATATATATATATATATATATATATATATATATATATATATATATATATATGTATATAAATATATATAAATAAATATATATATATGTATATAAATATATATATATATAAATATATATATATATATATATATATATATATATATATATATATATAGATAGATAGATAGATAGATAGATAGATATGAAAAGGTTCACATAGATCAATAGATATTAACCAACTGAGATCGACAGAAAGATAGAAAGAATGAGAAAGGTATTTTCATTAAAGTAGATATGGGCAGACTGTGATAGATAGATAGATAGATAGATAGATAGATAGATAGATATGAACGGTCTAAATTATTTAGGAAGAATAACATATATAGATGATGATTAGTCTAAACTATTTAGGACTAGTCTTAGATAGATAGATAGATAGATAGATAGATAGATAGATAGATAGATAGATAGATAATGAACGGTTTAAATTATTTAGGAAGAATCATAGATAATGAACAGAGTAAACTATTTAAGACTAGTCTTAGATATATAGATAGATAGATAGATATGAACAGAATGAGATAGATAGATAGATAGATAGATAGATAGATATGAACAGAATGAGATAGATAGATAGATAGATAGATAGATAGATAGATAGATAGATAGATAGATATACATGTTTATTTTGGACGTAGCTGAAAGTGGCGTTTCACAGCATCAATTTATTTCCTTTCCTTTTAGATATTGCGGTGGTTTCCTCTAGCCTTCACCACGGTTTGGGAGTTAGAGTTTTACTTTCTGTGACAGACTGCATTTCAAGTCTAGAGTGTTCTAGCTGACGAGAAAAGAGATGAATTCCGATAGCATCAGTGTGACTTGAATGCAACCAACACAATTTGAAGTTGAACTCATTTCGCCGTTGCAACATTTCTCGCCGAGAACCGTTACGCTCTCTGTATTCCTACATTCAACAAACCCCGTCTTGTTATTAATTCGCGTTGGGACACAGATGAGTAAGTTACTTACCAGTATGTATTCCTATTCGAAGTTTAAGCTGTTCATTTGGTCGATGTCGGATACGGAATGTTTTAACCGCTTTTAAAAGAGCCAAAGACATCCGGGCAATTTCTCGGCTGTGGTTCTTTCCATTACGAATTGGTACTCCTGACACAACCATATAGGCATCTCCAATTGTTTCCACCTTGACAACAAACAAACGAAAAAAGATATTTCATTAAGATACAATATAAGTAAAATCAATTTACGCAGGTGCCTTAAACACTATGAATTTAGTAAATATTAAAATAGCTATAGGTTTAATCGCAGTGTACTTTAATATCAGAAGTTTGTCATTAGTACATTTTTATGTGAATTCAGAAAACGAACAGATAACTAGTTATTAAAATTATATATATATATATATATATATATATATATATATATATATATATATATATATATATATATATATATATATATATATATATGATATTTACGCTCTGTAAATTTACATTGAGCACTGTTTTGTACAAATAAAAAAAACATTAATAAGAACACCGGATTATATATCTTACTGTTCTTTCGTTTTATTTACACACACACACACACACACACACACGCACACACACACACACACACACACATATACAAGTGTTGTCTATTTATTTTATGTAAATTTTTACGAAAAAATTTACATCAAATATTATGAAAAAAATTTACATAAAATAAATAGACAACACTATTATTTAACGAAACGTATATGAATGAAAAGATGCTGCCTAAATACACACTATATATATATATATATATATATATATATATATATATATATATATATATATATATATTAAAATGTCCGACAATTGTTTTAATAAATTTTCTGTTTATACGTTATTTATATAGACACACATTTTAACTAAATGCTATGTTTATAAAAAATACAGTATTAATTTCATTTACCGGTCTGTCTGTCCGATAAATTTAATAGAAAATATGTGTCCTCTGACAGGAATCCAACCTCTGACATGCTATACTATTTAGCTACAGAGGGAGCGTCTGGTTAGCAAATTCCAAAGTATTGTTTTTAAAGTCAGGTAAACACAGAAAATATATTAAAATATTTGTCGGTTTTCATTGTTGGAAGTGTTTACCTGATGATCCGAAATCCTTTAAAAAGGATTTTGGTGAAATAAATTATTGTAATGATACCTTAAAGTGGTCTGTTTTTCATTAAATATTAGCTCTGTTCTTCACATTGAGCTCTCAGGATTTCATCCTCCTTGGATTTACCAATTCGGTTTACCAAGTTCTTTATAACTTATATATATATATATATATATATATATATATATATATATATATATATATATATATATATATATGGGATATAACGATTATATTATATTTTTGATTCGTTGTTTTTCATGAAGGACAACTCTTCTATTTTGAAATATTTTATGTGCCTTTTGTTTCGTATTGAATATGAAATAGTTAGGATATTGAAGGGTCTTGAATGTATTTTCAATATATTTCTCCTCTTCGTGTAGATATTGAGGGCTGCAAATTCTGAGAGCTCTTAGGTAGAATCTAATGACCATTCCAGATTTATTATATTGTTATGATGAGAATAGAAGTTTATTAGGTCATTTTTTTTATTAGTAGATTTTCGGTGGACACGAAGTTTTAGGCTGCTGATGTTTAAGAAAGATTAAGTATTGTTTTCTTCCATTTCGCATGTAAATTCTATTGTATGTTCGACTTTGTTTAGTTTATCTACATGATCCGCTAAGTCAGTATCACAGGGCTATATTAATAGGGCCTCATCAATATATCGGAAGTAAGTTTATGTAAAATATTAAGGAAAGAAACAGATTCGAGAAATTTTAAGATTCATGCCATCACTCCACGGAAAGGCGATCCCATTGGTAATCAAAATTTTTGATTGTAAAAATTGTTATTAAATGTGAAATAACACTGATTGGTGATGAGACGGCAGATTTTTATTATTTTAGCTATTGGTAGGTTGAGGTTTATCTTTGTATTTTTTAAGAGATTTAAGCATTTTTTTTTTTAACTCAGTCATTAGTGTAAAGTAATTTTATATCTGGACTGGCCATGAGTTTGTCAGTTATATTTGTTTCGCTTAGTTTTTCAACAAGGTTGCCTGATTTTTTTTTTAAAATTTGATGAAATTATTCAAAGAAGAGTGGTTAATTTTTTTCCTATGGCTATAGCTATTTTGTAGGCTGGGGGCGATGCCTATTTCTGGGGTGCATAGGGATACCAGTTTGTGGGTCTTAGGAAGACCGAAAGTCTGGGCGATCTAGGATCTATGAGTCTATACCAAAATTTTTTTTTCATTTTTAATTAATTTCCTGATTGATAATCCAACAAATGAGTGGCAATCAAAACAAAAAACTGAGACAAAAACTCAACAAACTATGCAGCTACATCAAGTGGAAATATGTTAGAAAGCCTAATTCAATAGAAAATCTATCGGCTATAAAGCGGAATTTAATCCATCAACCACAAGTATTGTCAGAAAGAATATATTTTAGAAACCTCAAGAATTTTAAACAAAACACTATATGAACACAAAGGAGACATTTTTACAAACAACACACTAAACGCATTTGTTGTTCAACGTAACGAAACTGCCGACAATTTTAAAATAAAAAAATACTAAAGAACTTTGGATTATTTACCTAACGAGTTCTTTCCTATTTTCTCCATATTTTACACACACACACACACACACACACACACACACACACACACACACACACTATATATATATATATATATATATATATATATATATATATATATATATATATATGTTGGACTCTCCTGTCGTTTTCGACGTATGAGAGTCAGGCAGCTCAGTTCTTAGAACCAACAGCCAGACTACCCGCATATCACATGTGATTATAGCGGTGAAAGTGTGTGCAGAACCAACCACACGCAGGTTTTGAATTAAAAAATGTCCTTCTTAGGCGGTTCGCCAGGCAAGGCAAGTCTATTTACCCATAGCTGTGATAGATAGATTTCCCGAGGGTATTACCACAGATGGGAATGTAATGAAATCAATCCGAGCCGCTATCCATTACTCCACTGTACCTACATGATACTTTTACATATTTGACATTATCTTTTCATGGTATTTGATATATTTTATATATTTGACATTATGCAGAAATATTTAAAACAACATGTAGGATAGTGAAAAGTCATGTTGCTCTGCTTACCTTGTATACATCGTAGTTTTCAATAATCGAGTCGAACGTAGTATAGAGATCATTTAAGAGATCCACAACCTGTAATAATAATAAAAAATATATTATTAGTGTTAGAAGTAGTAGTTTTATTTTTACATCCTGTTCAAGGCAATCTCTTTCGGGGTCATTATTCAATTCTAAGGTATTTAATACATGCATTCTATTTTTACATATTTCGATGTAAATTTTATATTTTCTGTATATTGATAATACTCACTCATATATTTTGCTTTTATTTTTCTCATTCTTTTCAAACCAAGCAAACCGCCATTGCCACTAGGATGCAAGGGTTACTGGGTGTGAAAGAGAATGAGAAGATAATAAGAGCCGATTGACACTGCATTTAAACTTTTGAAGATCGTTAAGTGGCAGGAAAGAAAAAAAAGGAAAATAGTTCCACAGTCGAGAAGTGCGAGAAAATAAACGAATAGAACTCATGGCGACATCAAGCTAGTTCCGTAATGTTCTGATGCCATAGGTTCCCAAGTAGACATCTATGCGGACGACACTACTATTACTCCTGCCTCAAAAACAAATCTTGTGTAGCCGACAAATCTAACCTGGCCGTTTGTCTCGAAAAGGACCTCCAATCAGTTGTGGACTGGAACCCCTTCTGTTTGTCTCAAGGTCCTTGATAAAATCCAAAGACGGATATGTAATGTAATTGGCCCTGATCTGACATCTCGTCTGTAACCGCTCTCTCACAGACGTGCCGTTGCCTCCCTCTGTCTTTTTTACAAATACTTTCACGGTAACTGCTCCGATGAGCTGCTTTCGCTGGTTCCCAGACTTCATGAATTTAAGCGTTCAACTAGGCTGGTATCTCGCTCTCACCCTTTCACTGTCGAAACTGTTAAATGTAGCCGTCTCTTCTACTCCAATAGCTTCATGTCTCGCACTTCTCGCCTGTGGAACTCCTTCCCCATTTCTTTTTCCCTGATAGCTATAATCTCCAACTATTCAAATGTAATGTCAGTCGACGTCTCCAGATGCCCTGATCTATCCCCTATCCTTCTCTTCATCCTTTCCTCTATCACTCCTCTTTGCTCTCGCTCTAACTCTCTGTAACCCCTTGTGTGCTGGTGGCTTCCCGACATGCTTGGGGTGGAATGCTTAAAATAATATCGCAATGAGACCTAGTTACCAATCCAATAGCAGGCTGAAATTCATGTCGTTGGGAAAAGCAAGGGGGGGAAGCACTTTAGAACAATTACCATGAAACTATTTACAGAAAAGTTCCAGGGAAGCTATGACACGGAGGTGGGAAAGTCGTGATGCCAGGCCAGAGTCAATAACATTACAGACCCTTGTTTGGATTTTGTCGTGAATATAGTGATATGAAGTAGGAGGCACGTGGCCGAGTGGTTAGAACGTTCGCATCCTGACCATGAGTCCCGGGTTCGAATCTCACCATGGTCGATTTGTCAGTAAGGAAACTTCCTGATGTTATCGGACTGGAAGAGTCGGTCCATTGGAAAGTGCCTGAAGACCATACCACGGGTTGATCCAAGCCTTGTGAGTGAAATTGTATAGACGGAACCCTTGCTAGCACAAAGTCACAAGTCATCGTGGCTGAGGGCTTGAGCGTGTTGGCCTTGTTCAAATTGTTGATCAGGCTTGATCCAAGCCCTGTGAGTGAAATTGAATAAACGGAACCCTTGCTAGCACAAAGATACAGGCCATCGTGGCCGAGGGCTTGAGCGTCCTGGCCCTGTTCAAATTGTTGATCACGCTAGATAACACGTAACTGTAACAAAGGTCTGCTCAGCATAGTTTGCAGTATAAACCGCAGGTGGGCTCTGTGGGTGTTGAATAAACACAAATGTGTCTGAGCATGCCTGAACAATAGGGATTGGCTAGCCGCCCGAGTAGACGGGTATTCCCGAATACGAGTGGTCTGTGCTACACACATACATAGCAGGAGCACCAGATTAAATATGGTAATATTCAATACATGGACGAATAGTAAACTTATAAATGTGCAAGACAGATTCTAACAAGATAACTTGTCTGACACAGGCATATTTCTTTTATTTTCTGGAAAAATCAAGTGCCAGCAAGTTTTCATAATAATCGATTATTCCTCGCCATCAATATTTTTCTAAGTTATCCCACCAATAATTACCGATCGCCTTATACACAGAAAAATATACTTTCAAATATGCACGTGAAACCAAGAAAATAATCACAAATATCGACAGAACAAATAATCCTTACCAATTTCTAATTTTCATTGATATTTAACCCAACTTGCATAATCGTCCTGGGTAAGATGTTAAACTACATCCGCGTCCTTGATAAACTATGCCCAGCAGCAAGGCCTCTGATCAGGAGGTTTTGAGGAGTGTGGAACCACCTCTTAATTGCTGATGTTCCCAGGTCTACCCTGACCCGGGGTGGTAGCACCTGTTAGTGTCCCAGCTACGGGCAAATAGTTACCTATTACCAGTAATACCTTTTGAAAATATTATTAAAAGCAATACAGTTTTGAAGGAAAAATATTACCAGAAATAAATGTTTGACAAAATGAAATATTACCAGTAATAACATTTTTTGTCGGCATTAAATAACCCATTGAGGTTGATATGCCGTAAGAAAAATAAACCAAACCAATCTAAAACAAAGAATACTTATTGTATTCATACAAATCTATCCTAAAAATGTTGTCGGCATTAAATAACCCATTGAGGTTGATATACCGTAAAACAAAATAAACCAAACCAATCTAAAACAAAGAATACTTATTGTATTCATACAAATCTATCCTAAAAATGTTGTCGGCATTAAATAACCCATTGAGGTTGATATGCCGTAAAACAAAATAAACCAAACCAATCTAAAACAAAGAATACTTATTGTATTCATACAAATCTATCCTAAAAATGTTGTCGGCATTAAATAACCCATTGAGGTTGATATGCCGTAAAACAAAATAAACCAAACCAATCTAAACCAAAGAATACTTATTGTATTCATACAAATCTATCCTAAAAATGTTGTCGGCATTAAATAACCCATAGAGGTTGATATGCCGTAAAACAAAATAAACCAAACCAATCTAAACCAAAAGAATACTTATTGTATTCATACAAATCTATCCTAAAATGTTGTTTGGCATTAAATAACCCATTGAGGTTGATATGTAAAAAAACAAAAATAAAACAAACCAATCTAAACCAAAGAATACTTATTGTATTCATACAAATCTATCCTAAAAATGTTGTCGGCATTAGATAACCCATAGAGGTTGATATGTCGTAAAACAAAATAAACCAAACCAATCTAAAACAAAGAATACTTATTGTATTCATACAAATCTATCCTAAAAATGTTGTCGGCATTAAATAACCCATTGAGGTTGATATGCCGTAAAACAAAATAAACCAAACCAATCTAAACCAAAGAATACATATTCTATTCATACGAATCTATCCTAAAAATGTTGTCGGCATTAAATAACCCATTGAGGTTGATAAGCCGTAAAGCAAAATAAACCATACCAAACCAAACCCAACTTGCATAAATGACAAATGATAAATGCTACCCAAATACAAACGCGAATAACACTGGTCAACACAATTTCTGGTGCCAAGAAACAAAACACATTTTTTTAGCTAATTTCATGGTGCTGATTCCGAAAATGACCTTAGTTTTTCATAGCTTCCGTTTTTGCTGTACTGAAATTGCTCATTTTTTGGAAAAAAGATCAATTTCCGATCTTGGCTGGTCGCAAAATTTAATTAATAAAGGTCGAAGAAGCCCATCAATTTTCAGGTAGGCCGAGCAATATCTTCTAGTCACCTGAAATAAATTATTTTTTATAAGAAAAGTGTTTTTGAGTAAAAAAGTTTAAAATAGAAGTACCGAAGTTATTCAATTTATCGCCAAAATTCAAATTAACTGATAGACTTTATCAGTAATACACTTTAATTAACCTGATAATTAAGGTGACATAAGAAATATGAAACTTCTAAAATCTTCTGTTTGTTATTCATAAATTTATCCCATCACTTTTATCCCTTAACTACGGAAGGACAGCAAGCACATTGAGAGCATTTTGTTTTCAAAGTTGGAAAGAAACTCCAAATAACACATCCCAATTGAATGCACCTATTCCATTGTACATGATACTGCTGGAGTATCAAAAGGGACTTACATAAAATTGAACATGACAATCAAGAAAGAAAAATTGTTTACCATAGTTCTTATGATCACGAAGGTTTTATTTCTGGTGTTAGTTTATTAAATGATTTGAAGAAAATAATTATTGGTCTTGGTATATTCAATCGGGTTATTTTAAAGATTTTGGCTCTGATCGTCATTGCAAAAATAGTATTTCTCAATAAGCAGAAAAAATATATTTGTTGGTTTAAATACGAATGGAGAGGTTTCTACGATTTTATTTTGAGAAATATTGCCATTGGTCAATATCATATATACAGAAATCAAATGAAAATTTCTTTCTTCCCAAAATGAATCATTTCTGTACAGCAAAAACGGTAGCTAACCAAGAAAAAGTAAGGTCATTTTCAGATTCAGAGCCCTCAGATTAGTTAAAAAAAGATATTTGGTGTCTCGACACCATTTTCTTTTCCTTTTTTTTTTTTTTTTTTTTTTTGACCAATGTAATAAATGTTTTCTAAAAGATATATTATATCCGAATCGCTGAATATATTACAGGTTCCCTACTACTGAGAAATGACATTATCATTCCAAGATTTTATGTAGACTTGTCATCTCATCCTGTTTAAGACGACATGTAATTCTGAGATGGGTCATCGTCATTCTTAAGTTTGCTTAGACATATGATCTCATTTGTTCTGTTTAAGATATCTTCTGTAAATTTGAAATGGGTTATTGTCGTTCCAGGCGTTGCTTAGACCTGTAATCGCGTTCTTTCTACGTAAGATAATTTCTGGAATTTTCAGATGGGTCATTGCCTTTTCAGGAGCTGCTTAGATCTGTAATCTCTTTCGTTCTGTTAAAGATATCTTGTGCCATTTTGAAATGTGTCATTATATTTCCAGGAGTTGCTTCGACGTGTAATGCTGTTCTTTCTGCTTAAGACACCTGCCATTTTGAAATTTGTCATTATATTTCCAGGAGTTGCTTCGACGTGTAATGCTGTTCGTTCTGCTTAAGATACCTTCTGTAAATTTGAAATGGGTTATCGTCTTTCCAAGAGTTGTTTAGACTTTTAATCGTTGTTTTTGTTTGATATATTCTGTAATTTTGAGATGGGTTAGTATTATTCCAAGGGTTATTTAAACTTGAGACTGCATTCGTTTTGTTTAAGGTATATTCTGTAATTCTGAGATGGGTTAAACTCGTTCCAAACAATCATTCTTGACAAACCGTGAATTGAAGGTGTTTTTCAAAGGATTCTCCTCCAGCTCCTATCCCACGAACGCAGGTGTTCTCCAAGGCTCTATCATAGGCCCTAGTCTGTTCCTTATCTTCATTAACGATCCTCGTGCTGTCATAGGTTCCCAAGTATGCATCGATGCGGACGACACTACTATTCATTCCTACCTCAAAAACAAATATAGAGTCGCCGACAAAACTAACCTGGCCGTTTGTCTCGAAAATGACCTCCAATCGGTTGTGAACTGGGACAGGAATTGTCTGGTTAACCTTAATGCGTCAAAAACAAAACTGCTCTCTATTACTCACCACAGAGAACCATCCCTGCCTTCCATTAGAATGTCTGACGTTCAACTCTGCAAGAGCACCACTTTGTGACTGCTCGGTCTCACATTGTCTGCTGACCTGAGATGGAACAAATACATTGAGTCAATAGCTTTGTCCACCGCAAGGAAAGGCGGCTCCCCGTGCCACGCCAGGAAATTTTTCTCGCCGGAGTCAATCCTTCAAATCTACAAATCAACCATTCGCCCTTGAATGGAGTATTGCTGCCATATATGGTCTGTTGCCCCTTATGTTTGTCTCAAGGTTCTTGATAAGATCCAGAGTCGAATATGCAATGTAATTGGCCCTGATCTGGCATCTCGTCTGCAGCCGCTCTCTCACAGACGTGCCGTTGCCTCCCTCTGTATTTTTTATGGTAACTGCTCCGATCAGCTGCTTCGTTGGTTCATGACGTTAAGCGTTCTACTTGGCTGGCATCCCGCTCCCACCCTTTCACTGTCGAAACTGTTAAATGTAGCCATCTCTTCTACTCCAATAGCTTCATGTCTCGCACCTCTTGCCTGTGGAACTCCCTCCCCATTTCTTGTTTTCCTGATAGCTATAATCTCCAACTATTCAAATGTAATGTCAATCGACGTCTCCAGATGTCCTGATCTATACCCTAACCTTCTCTTCATCCTTTCCTCTATCACTCTTTGCTCTCGCTCTAACTCTCTATAACCCCTTGCGTGCTAGTGGCTTCCAGCTTCGCTTGAGGTGGAATGGTTAAAAAAAAGAAAGAAAGGATTTTAGTCTTAAAATGCTGTTCTATTCATGTAAGAATAATTTTAAAATGCTATAATATCATTCCAAATATATTTAAGACACTTTACCCAGTTATTTTAGTTAATTTTTGCTTTTTCATTTTCTATCTTTTCTCTAACTACTTCCCAAATTTTGACCCATTGCCACTTTCCACACTGACTGCAATCATGGAAAGACTTTTGAATCGAACGCTCGAAAATTTATGATCGCACGAAATCTAACACATGTCATGCAATAAATGTTGGAAGATGAGTCTATTTTTAAACATTGCTTTCGTGACAAATGACTCACCTGATGAGGTGTGCTTTCAGCTGACATGGCTGTAAAGCCACAAATGTCACTAAAATAGATAGAGACGCTGTCGTATGCCTCGGCAGTCACGGATTCCCCCTTGATTAGCTGCATAGCAACGTATCTGTAAAAGAAATAGAAAATAAACATCTTTAATAGAGCAAAGAATTAGTGTAATATATTTATCAATATACGTAATCAAAGAGGGTAATGACTTGACGTGATGAAAGGCCACGTTTCTTTTATCATCAAATAAGTTCTTATTCGATATGCCATGTATCTTCAAGGTGTGGGGGATCATGGCTCCCCACAATTTCCTCTGAGTAAAGATTGTTTGTTTTTTTTGTTTTTTTTTTTTGCTATATCTCCGAATCCCTTTTTTTTTTTTACTTTTTTTAATAAAGAGAATAGCCGACTTGGAGAATTTAACACTCCCAGAAAAATGAAGACAAATAAAGCAGATGAAAATAATATACGCTTGCGTCTAGCAATGATATATATAATATATAAAAATTAAATTATTTTTCTTGTTTTTATTTATTTTTTGTCTTTATTTCTTTGTCTTCCCAAATCAAAATAAAACTATTAAATAAGCGATATAAACACATTTTTACTATGTTGATAAAACAGCGATTAATGAATATATATATATATATATATATATATATATATATATATATATAAGATAAAATAAGAAATAAGAATAAAAAATAAAATAAATAAAAAATAAAAATAAATAAAAAGAAGCAAAATAATTTAACACAAATAAATAACTAAACAAATAAATGACTTCCGGTAAAATAGCCGCCAAAATAGACTACCCACAATGCACCACTGACCAGTATATATAAATAGCCGAGAAAAATAACAGCCTGACGATTGCGTCTAGAATGAAACAGACTGTCGCCTCTAAGTGTTGACTTCTATGTTCACTTTTATATTTACACACACTATCTCTGATATTGAGCACTTTATCCCATAAATATAGCACATCTTAAGACTATATTTCTTTACATATATATGTGTGTGTGTGTGTGTATGTGTGCTATTAAATATAACACATAATGGATGTCTATTATGTTTGATCATGAGCGGTTCTAATGTTCGAATATTTGCTTTAATTTCTGCTGAAACAATGGCATAAATTTTCTAACATTTGAATATTTTTTATCAAGTTGGTCCTAAGCTTTCGGCTCACATGAGCCATCCTCAGAGTACTTATGTGAACCGAAAGCTTAGAACCAACTTAATAAATATCTATTCTAATATATATATATATATATATATATATATATATATATATATATATATATATATATATATATGTATGTATATTTACCGAAATCAGTTTTTCTTCTTCCATTCTATGACCATTATCCCGAATAATGCGACGGCTTTCAAATAACGTAAAGCGCGTTTCTTTGTGTAATTCGACTACTCTCCCCCGGACAGAAGATTAATATCCAGAACAAGGAGGATTATTGCGAAATATTGCATGTCAACGTAAAAGATTATGTTAGAAATCTGAAACTGAAGAGGCGGTGGAGCTTTATTCATGACAATGATCCAAAAGGGAAGTATATAGATAGAATAATTAGAAAATGTATCAAATATATAAACCTTGATCTACAAAGACTCTAGAACTTTATTTCGTTTTACTGTTTTTCACCGCCACAAGGCTCAAGAGACAATCATGTAGAGGGTTACTGAAAGAAGTCGAAGAAAATAGATAACAGTTGACCCAAGACTTGAAGTGACTAAGAATGCATTGATCTGGGAAGCATTCTCGCGGGTGTCTATTTTTTAATGTAGCGGTTTTTGTTACGATATTGACCGAATGCACCTTCCTTCTTAGCAATGAAATCCGAAAGAAATGAGAATGATTCGAACCTGTATACATAGCGTGGTGGGTTTTAGATGTAAAAGTTTGAACTCGTTGAATGTAGCACGTCAGAAGCCTTTTCCATTGAAATACCGATAGAATTGTTGGAGGCTTGCGATTTTTCACCTGCGGCAAAGGTAGGTAGGGTGGGAAACAATCATCCACAAAATATTTCAGAAGCTTTTGAAAACTGTCAAGGCTGAAAAATGACGATTAAGAAGCATCTCCAGATCAGATATTTTCTAACCTGCAAACCTTACCCCACAGAAAAAAAACAAAAACAAAAAAGATTTGCTATCATTTCACTCCTCTATCGCTATTACTATCTAATCGTGCAACACCTTAGCCAGTCGTCCAGGATGTTCAACACCGCTGTTGATCGATGAAGGTCGCTTTGATCTTCTGCCTGCCTTATCCCACGTTGTGATTTAAGTTTGATCATAAGGAGGTCAATACCGAATTGTCGCAGGTATCTTCGTGTTAGACTGGTCCAAGCAGGGCAAGGACGCACAGAAAAAGAATAATATTCGAATAAATTGAACAAAAGTAAATACTGGTTTTATATCAGTCCTCCGTGCAATAATTGGTTTATTAGAGTTCGCATGTTATTAATTATCAGCCCAGCCCGCATCTAAATCGGACATTGCAAAAATTTGGTTTACTGTTGTTGATAAAGTTTGGCACAAGGCTGAAGTCGGAGACTTTCGTCGGCAGATAATCACGTGAGTCTCTCTTCTCTCATCTGCCTCCGTCTCTATCTCTTCTACTCCGACTCATCATTCTTCTGGCGAATTCGCTTTGCGCATTCATATTTATTTGACATCATATTGAGAAACTCCCTTCTCCTAATCTCCCATATCATGATCTCTCACTAAACCTCCTCAGTAAGCGTGGATGGCTTATCTACCCTCCTCCTGTCTCGAATCACTTTCGAGCAGGAAAACCAACTCCAAAACGTTGTTTACGAAAATGAAGTTTTCGCTTTACAGCTTGCTTTTGCAGCTGTGTGCCATTCAACATTGCCTCTTAACACTGGGTTACACTTCCATTGTTCAAACTGCTCGATATACAATTCAAGTCTTTCATGTGTGAATTAAATATTCAATTCTTCCACGGGGTTTTGATATTAACCCTTCTCGTATCAATGTCTACATAAGACTTTCTATTGTTTTAACAAAACTTCCTTCCGTTTTACCGCAGCAACAACAAATAGTATCACAACTAAATGTTGAAACGAGTGATATTTCTTAGACAGTTTTGACATTCACATGTAGGATCCGCCATGCCATATTCTCGGTAGAAAATCATCACTGCTCTTTTTGTGTTCATTTGATAAGGAGTACATTCCAATCAGATAGCGTCTTCGTGGAACAAGCTCCCGAGCGGATGCCCTCATGACCACTACAATTTTAACCTCAAAAGTCAACTGATATCTATCCGACATATCCTGATAATATGCATTTTTTTTACTTCCTCCTTGCCCCCCTTAAAACAATCTCAGTCAGTAACCCTCTTCCTCGAGAGGCTCCTGGGCATTATATTTGGTGAAATAAATATCTTATTTTTCTTCTAATCTGATTCTTTTAAAGATAGAGCATGGAAGGAAAAGTCAAATATTTTCTGAAGGGGAACAAGTAACCGAACATTTGTCCTGCCGCTTTAGAGATAGATCGTATACATTAGATCCATTTGAGGACAAAGGTAAAATTGTGTTCCAATAGGAGTTCAAAGCAAGGAGATTCATTGAATGGACAACAGTCCATCAGGACAGATTTCAACTGAATCCAGTTGAAAATTTATGGCATGATTTTTAATGTTGTATAAAGTGAAGAAAACGGAACTATGTTGCTACTATTTGAATATCCTGCGTATATGAACTTTAGCAAAAAATCCATGAGGATTGCTTTCATAATTTATACTGGAAATTATTATAAAACAAAACTATTACTCTAAAAGTACGATGTAATTCTGGCTGAGAATCTAACAGAGTGGTAAATACTGGATGTAACAGCGTGGGATAATCTTCCATCCCACAAAATATTTAGTATCTAAAAAAAAACCACTAATTGAGTTTCTTTTTTCGATATTTTCAGATAAGACAGTTAGCCATCTTGACACCATTTGTCGTAAGAATCACTGAAAAAACCTTTGAGTTAATCAGGTAGAAAGAGAACACGTAAAAATCGTTTTATGTGAGCCTCACTGTTTTTTCAACTGAGCAATATTGAGAGGAGAATATCATCAAGGCCTTCAGTAATGATACCAAAATTCACATTCTGGTTTCCATCTTCTAAGTCCATTCAAGAATAAGCAAGAGAACGGTGAATAAGTTTAAAAAAGGAGCAGTAGAGAGGAAAACTGGATCAAAACAGACAGAGGAATCATCATTTCTACTTAAATACATTATTGCTCAAAGTTCAATAGTGTTATAAAATCCTCAGAGAATTCCAGTAAGATACCTTTAATCATTTCTAAGATACCTTTCAAATCTAAATCTAACAAGTGAACAATTTTGCTGTTACACGATTTGAACAATTTTTTTCTGTTGCACCTGGTGTATGAGACAATTTGGAAAACTTATTTGGAAATGTTTCGTCAATTAAACATTGCCATCTGAGAAGTTGTTGAGAAAGGAACGTGATTTACGTTAGCCATATGAACAGTCGACTTTTTAAACAAAACTTATATGCATTTATTTCCATTTAATATTATCCGAAATGAATATCACGAAAATGCATCGGATACACAGGGAAAAGATATCAAAATAACTATTAGGAAAAATTCTTTCCGTGTAAAATCTTTGAAAATATTCGAAGATCTGCGGAACTCTCGCGAGTTTGCACAAGACAAGGAGGTTTGGAGAGAGCTGATGAGATATTCACAAAGTTTCGAAGTGTGTTTTCAAGTTCAAATTGTTACGATGATGATATCAATTTTCAAATGCTATATTGTTCTTGGGGCATACAATTATTTTTAGTTTCTTTACAATTATTCACAATATGCGGAAGGTTGGTTTTATATTTACTAAAATAATATTTATTACTCTTTTTATTTCTCAGAAAACCATTAGTCTACACTTATCTTTGTGGTTATTTCAAATAGGGTAAAGAATATGTCCGACCGTGCCAATAATTTCAATCAAAAGTTTATATATCCGCTCTCATCTTTCAGCCTAAATTATATTAAATTAATAAATCTATCGCCATTTTAATACGTGTTTGGTTATTCAATGGTGAATATTTTTTCATTTTTATTTTTTTATGAACTTTTAAATATTAAAAAAAAATGTTTTACACACACACACACACACACACACACACACACACACACACACACACACACACACATATATATATATATATGTGCATGTGTATAATACAAATAATTGTCAACTAGCAAATGTTTTTTATTAAGATAGAAAAATTGCTTTTGTGAAGGAAAATAGGTGATTCGCATCAACATTTTCGAAAAGTTCCATCATGCTGATTGAGCAATAAAAAGAAGCTTTCCACTTCTATAATCTGCTGCTATTCAAAGCAACCTGAACGCTCTATGCTGTTCCATCAAAATAATACACTCCTGCGTGATACTCGCACAAAAAATGCTATTCAAGTAGTTCAACAACTTCTTTCTCCAATAGGACCACCAGTTCACTCTCCCATTGAATATATCAGTAACGATTGCTGCCTCTTTATTTTGGAACTCATACAGGAATTGATATGTATATATTATTCTTTACTGTGATCCATCTATGAAACTCTTACGTTTGAAATACATATTCATGGTGTCGCGGTTTTATTTTCCCCGCTATATGTATAGTAATGATACAATATAGTAATCTGTATGGAATTTTCAGGAGGACATAGATCCAGGGAGAACAAAATTATTATAAATTAAAGAATTTCAAACATTTAAAATCCCATAGATAATAATTTTATTTCATGAGAGCTCTAAAAAAGCAGTTCTCAATCTTCAAGACGTACAAACAAATTTGTTTTAGGTTTTTAAAATTGAGAGCTATTTTTTCTAGAGCTCTCATGAAATAAATATTATTACCTATAAGATTTTAAATGTTTGATATTCAATTAATAATATATATATATATATATATATATATATATATATATATAAATAATGGAGTATTTGGGAAGGAAATCCTATTTTATAGATTAAAGACGACTAACAAGGTACTGCGTTTAAGGATTTTAAATTTTCTTGCGTTGGTATAAGTTTTTTTCTTATCTAGACTTAAAGTGTGTAAAACTTGTCCGAATGATTTGTATGTCCGAGCTCTTTCGACTATTCTTTTAGCCATTATCGAGGTTGCTTTGTTTGATTTTTAGTTTTAACTGAATTTGCAGATTTTTTTTTTATGCGTGTATCAAGAGTAATTTTAAAGTTTGTATATAAGGTCCTGTTACAAATCCGGTGAGAGTAACAGAGAGGAAATACGATTGATCTTTGTGAATTTTTATACATCGAGAAATGTAGCAATTTACGCATTAAATCTCAAATATTATAAACCACTCCATCACTTCTCTTGTAATGGGCAGGATGCGAGCCCAAGAATTAATTTAAAAAAAAACAAAAAAAAAATACATGACATGACCCTTTTGAGAGCAGGTCATCATGGCTCTACCTGGATTCATTTAATTTCATATTTCCAATCGATTGTGAACTGGGACATGAATTGGCTGGTCAACTTCAACGCTTCGAAGACAAAACTGCTCTCTATTAATCACCACAGAGAGCCTTCCCTTCCCTCCATTAAAATGTCTGACGCTCAACTTCTCGAGAGCAACACTCTGCGGCTTCTCGGTCTCACGTTGACTGCGGACCTGAGATGGAATAAATACATCGAGTCAATTGCCTCGTCCACTGCGAGGAAAGTTGGCTCCCCTGAGCCGCGCTAGGGAAGTTTTTCTCCCTGAGTCGATCCTCCAGATATACAAATCCACAATTCGCCCTTGCATGGAGTATTGCTGCCATATGGTCTGGCGCCCCTTCTGTTTGCCTCTGGGGTTCTTGATAGGCTCCAGAGGCGGATATGCAATGTGGTTGGCCCTGCCCTGGCGTCTCGTCTACAGTCACTTTCTCACAGACGCGCCGTCGCCTCCTCTGTCTGTTCTACAAATACTTTCATGGAAATTGCTCCGAGGAGCTGCATTCGCTGTTCCCAGACGTCATGAGTTCCAGCGCCCTACGAGACTGGCATCCCGCTCTCACCCCTTCACTGTCGAAACTCCTAAATGTAGCCGTCTCTTCTACTCTAATAGCTTCATGTCTCGCACCTCTCGCCCGTGGAACTCCCTTCCCTTCTCCTGTTTCCCTGTGAGCTATAATCTCCAGCTATTCAAATGTAATGTCAATCGACATCTCCAGTTGCCTTAATCTATCCACTACCCTCATCCTTTCTTCTTTCACTCCTATCTGATCTTGCTATTTCCTGTAACCCTTGCATCCTAGTGGCTTCCCGCCTTGCTTGGCGTGAAACGCTTAAAAAAAAAATATATATCTAGGAATCGCTATGATATAGCGGATAGATTTACCTTTGTCTTTTCCATTGTTTTTAATTGAATTTAATTCTTTAAACGCATTCACTCTTACGTAAAGCGCTTTTGTTTCTAAGTTAGTTCTATATATGCTGTTGACACCAGTAGTCTGTGTTTAGGTACGAAAAAATTCTAATACTTTACATGTGTTGGTTTCAAGGCACCTACCTTTAGAAGAAGTAAAGATAATATATAACCAGCCATAAAATATAATCTCGTAACAGTCTGAGAAAATAAAGACACATGAAATGATATATATGCGATCTGATGTAGGTATTTGTAGAATTAAATATATTTATGAATGTTCGGGTTTAGATGAATGATTTCAAATATGGTTGCAAGAATTGAAGAAGTGAAAAAAAAAAAACGTAAAAGGCAAAAGTTAATTAGAGAAAAGAATAAAAAATGACTTTCCTCAATTATGTTTCAGTAAATTCCTGAACTTGTTGATGCTCCCTAACCAAAGCAAATAAAAGTGTTACATAGAGATGAATAAGCGACTGTCGTAATGTTGCATGTTTTAAAAATATGGTCTTTGAGGAAGAAGGTCTAATGAATGAGCGTTGATTCTCTGCAAGCGGTATTTTCATGTTGATAACCTGAAAGTGGAAGGTTTTTGTAGAACATGGCTCTTGTGGAAGAACTTCCCGTGCCAGATGCTTAAATGTTTGCTACTGAAGGAGATAAGTATTTGCATTCAGTGAAAAAAAAAATGATAGTCTCAAAGTGAAAGGTTTGTAGAATACGACTCTTGTGGGATAACTTCTCGGGCCAAATCCTTCACTGTCTGCTACTGAAGGGAAGCGGTATTTGCATCCAGTGAAAGAAAGGTAATCTCAAAGTGAATGGTTTGTAGAATATGAATCTTGTAGAAGAACTTCGCATCCTTGACAGTCTGCTATCGAAGGGAAGCAGTATTTGCATCCAATGAAAAAATGATGAAGTGAATTTACATTCTGCTGGTGGGCACTTTTTTTTCCAACCAAAGAGTAAAATAATTCTTGCGAAAACAGTTCATATAGAGTATGTAGGTACAAGCAATAAACTGTTGAATCAAATGCGCTTCAAAGGTTTCAGTAACATTACATTGCAAATTACAGCTTGCAGATTTCTCATTTACAACCGCCATCCGTTATAAAACCAGCATCTCCGAAATATATGGAAATGTACCTTACCAACATATCTAAATCTTAAGAAACGTCACTGGAACATACTTACTTGGGAAGCATATTGTATAAGAGATCTTCGGCTTTTTTCTTTTGTTCTAGATAATCGGCCGTCCTTTCCTCAACAAGTGCTTCCAAGTTGTTGGCATATTGTTCCATACGGGATAGTAGGTTGTCCAAAATGTTACCTTTATCGCCATCTCTGTGAAAATACAAAGAAATTATTAATACCATTGGTCATGTGAGTCATTCAAATCAACATATAAAAGCCTGAAAATGGCATTCGATATATATATATATATATATATATATATATATGCAGCAATTTTCAATTTTTACTTTGACATATTTCACTGATTATTAAACATAATGAGAAAAATGATTTTTTTTCACAAATTTTGACGAGCAAGAGGAAACACTTCATTTTGCTGTATACTAAAAAGTAGAATAAATAATCAAATGATTATTTTTAATAGGATTCTCTCGAAATTACGGACAAGTTTCTTAGTATCCTTATTATTTATCCTTAGTTATCTCCCTTGAAGTTTGGACGTGAGCCTACATGATAAAATCTTTCAGATGAACACAATAATTTTGTTTTAGAAAAATGATGAAATATAACAATTTTTTGTCTTTGAAAAACAAGACCCAAATGATGATATTGTGCTAATGTCGAAAGTACTCGGAATAAAATGAATATATATCAACATGGTAATTTTCTTTCATCCATTAATAAAGATACTAAAAAATGTCTCCGTAATGACGTGAGGATCCTCGTCTAAATTATCTAATGAGACATGTCTTAATAAAAATATGCCTCCAAAATATACGCAATATATATATATATATATATATATATATATATATATATATATATATATATATATAAAGAAATATAGTCAAACATGAAACAGCCTGTCGTTTCTAATTTATGTTCAAATATATATATATATATATATATATATATATATATATATATATATATATATATATATATATATATATATATATATATATATATATATATATATATATATATATATATATGTATATATATATATATATATATATATATATATATATATATATATATATATATATATATATATATATATATATATATATATATATATATATATATATATATATATATATATATATATATATATGTATATATATATATATATATATATATATATATATGTATATATATATATATATATATATATATATATATATATATATATATATATATGTATATATATATATATATATATATATATATATATATATATATATATATATATATATATATATATATATATATATATATATATATATATATATATATATATATATATATATATATATATATATATATATATATATATACATATATATATAATATATATATAGTATATATAAATGTTTATATATATATAAATAATATATATATAAATATATATATTTAAAATATAAAAAATTTCCAAAAGTTCCAATGTTTCAAAAATAGAAGCTAAAAATAAAATATCTATAAGAACACCGGATTTTATATCTTACTGTTCTTTCTTTTTTTTATTTATATATATATATATATATATATATATATATATATATATATATATATATATATATATATATATATATATATTGCTGCGCATCCATTTGTTATATATATATATATATATATATATATATATATATATATATATATATATATATATATATATATATATGTGTGTGTGTGTGTGTGTTTTGTGTGTAAACGTGTGTCTGTAAGAGAGAAAGAAAAGGCTGGTATAATTAATATATAAGATATTTTGTATAACTTCTGCTTTGACAACTTTCGATGTTAATGCAACGTAATCAAAATAGGAATTTTATCTCAGAAGAAGAAAAATCTCCTTTATCGAGACGAAACGTGATACACGCTCAGAGACGGGAAAATTGATTTTGCTTTAAAATTATTTTTACATCAATTAGAGTTTGACGAACAGTAAAATAAAATATATAATTAAAATAATATATATGTGTGTGTATAAGGTAGAGAGAGAGAGAGAGAGAGACTGATAGCGAAAAGTTAAATGAAATTACATTAGCAAAGTAAATACATTTTCATGTTTCGACGATTATTTGACATCATCAGAAAAAACAATTTTATTAGACAAGAACAAACGTACATTACTGAGACGAAACGTGATACTCGTTAAGAGGCTGGAAAATTAACTTTTACTTTAAGTCTATCTTTATAGAAATTTCAAATCTGTTTTATCTAGCATGCATTGATTTCTTCTTCTTTTCTGTGCCGTGTCCCTTCAGGTCTTTGGTGATCATGGCTCTTCACAATTTCCACTCTTTTTGTTATCCCTAACGCTTGATCAATTTATACAAGCTCGCCGGGTAGGTTATGCAATTTTCTTTGTCTCGCTTAACTTCAATCTCATCTGTGAGCTTTCAAAACATATCACACAGTTTTCATCCATGCGTAAGACTGTTGACCATATACAATTTTCATATTTTCATAACTCCTAGATGCATCCGCAACAAAGGTATAAATTATATATTTTTGTAATGTCAACGAATACTTGTTGCCACTTTTGTAGTGCCTACGAATACTCGTTGTCACTTTCGTAATGCTCGTTGTAGTAGAGACTTTGTAATCGCAGATACAACTATAGTAATGCCGTTGAACAATACTGGTGTCAGACGTCTTCGAATATCAGTCACACTGATAGTACTTGCTACATAATTATTGCCCGAAATGTAACCACCGAATAGTGCTCTGTATAGTGAATAGTATGTAGATAGCGGATAGTGTAGAAAGAGTGATTCGTATCATAATAGAGGATAGAATAGAAATGGTGATCAATTAGACGCTACGCTAATTCCCATATATACATTTACTTTGCTATCATTATATTTTCAATATAACAGCCTCCCTTGTCAGTGCAGTTAATTCAGTAGTAAATATTAATTTTATAGATCAAACATTATTTTTGTGATGTCAGCGAATATTCGTTATCACTTTCGTAATGCTCACTGTAGTAGAGACTTTGTAATCGCAGATACAACTATAGTAACGCCGTTGAACAATACTGGTGTCAGACGCCTTCGAATAACACTCGCATTAATAGTACTTGTTCGATAATACTCGCTCGAATAGTAACCACCGAATAGCGATCCAAATAGTAATCCGTAGAGTGAGATATTAAGTGACCGCCCTACGCGGTTGGATGTGTCACAAGGTCAAAGTTTATTGTTGGTTATCCGAGCCCATAGGCTCGGGCAAAAATTGCCCGTAGACCCCGTAAAAATGGGGTCGGGTAGTTGTCTCCCGAGACGAGACTCTGCCCTTCGGCATAGCCCCGTCTGGGGGATCCTCTCTGCCCAGAGGCAGAGAGATTGAGATCACACTTGCGAAATAATCCAGATAGTGAGATATTCAATAACCGCCCTACGCGATCGGTTGCGGCACAAGGCCAAGTTTATTGTGTGATAACCGAGCGCGTAGGCTCGGTCAAAAAAAAATCCTCGTAGACGCCGTAAAAACGGGGATCGGGTAGCTGTCTCCGGAGACGAGACTCTGCCCGGAGGCATAGCCTCGTCTGGAGATTCTCTCTGCCCGGAGGCAGAGAGTTTGACAGCACACTTCCGAAATAATTCGGATAATGAGATGTTTATTTAACAGCCCTAAACGGTCTGATGCGGCACAAGGCCAAGTTTATTGTGGGGTACCGAGACCATAGGCTCGGTCAAAAATTCCCCGTAGCTCCCGTAAAAACCTAATTGATTAATACAATAGGAGAATAATAACTGCCATAGTGAAACATAGAACTCTCCTCCAGTCTCTCCACGGGCACAGTATCAATTTTAGATCCTCATTTGGACGTTTTCCCAACGCACAATTTTGACTTTTATGTGACTGTTACGCTTGTCTTAGAAATGGATACAAAATAAAACAAAATGCATAGAAACAATGAGTTAAGAAAATGAGAAGTGTTGTTGTCTTTCCGGGCCAAAGCTATAATTTATTATCAGAATGATTCGATGGAGTCAATGATGCGAACTTAGTTGGCCACGTCGCCGTGGTAACAAGCAAGCGTCTCGATCCGTTTCATTGTGAAATATTATCAAACGTTTGGCGTTTTATTCTAACACCAGTGTCTAGTTCGATCAGGGGAAAAAAGTGTAAAGCCAAAAAAAAAAAAAAAAAACACGACACAGAAATAAAGTTTAGAAAATGAATACTTGCTTTTTTTTTCTAGCGATCTCCAATCCAACGTGTGGCACAAGTGTCATTTATTAGGCATTGTTTGATAGTAAATTTAATAGGTTCATTTCTTCTTCTTAAGTGCCGTGTCACATCAGGATGCGGGCAATCGTGAATCTCCCTAATTTCCAATCTTTTGTAACTCTATTTCTCATGCCCATGTTCTGCCAGATATTTACACCAGCTTGTTAGATACTTTACTTACTTTCTCTTTTGTCTTCAATATCGAATTCTGCAAGTCGTCATTCGACATTATGTGATCTAGAAATTTCAGCTGTCTCTTTCTGAGTCTAATATAAGTGTTCTTTTTGTTACCATTTCCCCTAAAACTTCGTCTTTACTCAATTCTCAGTTCCATGGTATTCTTAGCAGAGCCTTGTAGAACCATGGATTTGTTGCTTCAAGTCTCTTTTTCATCTATGAGACTACTATCAATCTTTCAATGCCATATAAAAGGACTAATATTACATAGCAGTTCAGAACTGCTTTATTGGTTTCCAGTGAAATTTTCCTGTTTCTTAATACTTCGCTTAGTTTTTTGAAGGCATCTTCCGCCACCTCGCTACAGTGTGTTTTTGGTTTTCAACGTCATCTTTTCCGTCGTCTGTGAAAACAGTATATATTTAATGCATGCGCGCGCACGTGTGTGTGTGTGTGCGTGTGTGTGTGTGCGTGTGCGTATAAAATGTATGCATAAGAATAAACCCATCATGGTCACTGTTAGTTTTACAGTTCAATGCGACGTACAAATTTGGGTCACTGTGTCGTGCCAAAGTTTTTCCTCAGAATATATCTTGCACATTTACAAATCTAGCATTCGTCCGTGCATTGAATACAGCAGCCATAGCCGGTCTAGCGCTCCTGCTATTCATCTCGAGGATTTTGACAA